TAGCACTCCACACCACACCAGGAAGGTCTCTAGCACTCCTCACCACACCAGGAAAGTTTCTGGCACTCTTCACCACACCAGGAAGGTCTCTAGCACTCCTCACCACACCAGGAAGGTTTCTGGCACTCCTCATCACACCAGGAAGGTCTCTAGCACTCCTCATCACACCAGGAAGGTCTCTAGCACTCCTCACCACACCAGGAAGGTCTCTAGCACTCCTCATCACACCAGGAAGGTCTCTAGCACTCCTCATCACACCAGGAAGGTCTCTAGCACTCCTCACCACACCAGGAAGGTCTCTAGCACTCCTCACCACACCAGGAAGGTCTCTAGCACTCCTCACCACACCAGGAAAGTTTCTGGCACTCTTCACCACACCAGGAAGGTCTCTAGCACTCCTCACCACACCAGGAAGGTTTCTGGCACTCTTCACCACACTAGGAAGGTCTCTAGCACTCCTCACCACACCAGGAAGGTCTCTAGCACTCCTCACCACACCAGGAAGGTCTCTAGCACTCCTCACCACACCAGGAAGGTCTCTAGCACTCCTCACCACACCAGGAAGGTCTCTAGCACTCCTCACCACACCGGGAAGGTCTCTAGCACTCCTCACCACACCAGGAAGGTCTCTAACACTCCTCACCACACCAGGAAGGTCTCTAGCACTCCTCACCACACCAGGAAGGTCTCTAGCACTCCTCACCACACCGGGAAGGTCTCTAGCACTCCTCACCACACCAGGAAGGTCTCTAGCACTCCTCACCACACCAGGAAGGTCTCTAGCACTCCTCACCACACCAGACATCTTGTGTGACGGAACACAGACGCTGTTGTTCCTGGTGACGAGGCCAGTTGTGCATGTAACGTAACTCGTAACACCTTTCCCGTCTAGTATATGTAATGGGAGGGAAGAGCCCTCACCCGTGGTGCTCCAGGCGGTGGTAGAGACGCAGTTCAACGCCACCGCTGCCCCACGCCACCGTCCACAACCAGTCCCCCTTACATAAGGACGCCCTGGCGATGTATACTCTCAGCACCGCTCCTATGCCAGGTTAGTTACGGGCTCACCATAGCCCGTGCTACCATGGCACTTGTTCCGAGTAGCTGAATCTATAACAGCAACAACAACAGATGTCTACTCTAGGTAGTACTGGACCTGTACGCTTGGTACGCTACCTACAAACTGAGAGTGAGAGAGTGGGGAAGAGTGTGTGTGTGAGCGAGAAAGGAACACTAGAGAAGAGAGAGAGAGAGAGAGGTCTTCCAGGCATGTAGGGAAGAGAGCCCCACCTCCAAGACCTGAGGTGTCGACCTGCGCGCCTCACCCCTACCGGCCTTGGGGGGGGGGGTAGTATTGGCCAATTGGGTTACTGGGTTAGTGTACTGGGTTGGCGGGTCCCGCTCCTGGGGAGAGTGGCTGCGACGTGCTGGGTCGACGAGGTGCTGGTAGTACTTGGTTAGTGTGACCAGGTACTGGTAGTACTGGGTTTAGTGTGACCAGGTACTGGTAGTACTGGGTAGCGCAGTAGTCTAAGGCGTCGCTTCACAACCCACGAGTCCATTCACTGACGGGACAGAGCTGTTTGAGCAGCATTTCCTTTCACCTGGCTTTTCTTACTTATGGTCTAATCTTTCTTCCCCGTGGCCTAACCTTTCTTCCCCGTGGCCTAACCTTTCTTCCCCGTGGCCTAACCTTTCTTCCCCGTGGCCTAACCTTTCTTCCCCGTGGCCTAACCTTTCTTCCCTGTGGCCTAACCTTTCTTCCCCGTGGCCTAACCTTTCTTCACCGTGGCCTAACCTTTCTTCCCTGTAGCCTAACCTTTCTTCCCCGTGGCCTAACCTTTCTTCCCCGTGGCCTAACCTTTCTTCCCCGTGGCCTAACCTTTCTTCCCTGTGGCCTAACCTTTCTTCCCCGTGGCCTAACCTTTCTTCCCCGTGGCCTAACCTTTCTTCCCCGTGGCCTAACCTTTCTTCCCTGTGGCCTAACCTTTCTTCCCCGTAGCCTAACCCACCAAGAAACTGGTAGCCACATTAAATCTCAGTTTACATCTGACAATGATTTATTTTACCATTGCTCGATGACAATATATATCGATGATGGCCTCTATTGGGAAGTATTATGGCTATTTACCTGGCGGTAAACATCACAGTCAAGCCACGTGTTGACGTCTGCTTTACATAATTTATGGAGATTACATATGCGGTACATCTTAGCTTTACCTCTACATCTTGGCGCGCCCCTTTGAGGTGTGTTTTGGTAAGGTGTTTGGTGTGGTTACTGTTTATATCTCTTGTTTGTTTGTTTGTTACTGAGACGTGGTGAGGTGGCATTTGATCAGGTGCCGTGCTATGGTGCCATGTTGGGATGCCATGATGTGTCAGGTTAGGTTAGGCTGCGTCAGGTTAGGTTAGACTGCGTCAGGTTAGGTTAGGCTGCTACAGGTTAGGTTAGGCTGCGTCAGGTTAGGTTAGGCTGCGTCAGGTTAGGTTAGGCTGCTACAGGTTAGGTTAGGCTGCGTCAGGTTAGGTTACTCTGCGTCAGGTTAGGTTACTCTGCGTCAGGTTAGGTTACTCTGCGTCAGGTTAGGTTAGGCTGCGTCAGGTTACTCTGCGTCAGGTTAGGTTACTCTGCGTCAGGTTAGGTTACTCTGCATCAGGTTAGGTTAGGCTGCGTCAGGTTAGGTTAGGCTGCGTCAGGTTAGGTTAGGCTGCGTCAGGTTAGGTTAGGCTGCGTCAGGTTAGGTTAGGCTGCGTCAGGTTAGGTTACTCTGCATCAGGTTAGGTTAGGCTGCGTCAGGTTAGGTTACTCTGCGTCAGGTTAGGTTACTCTGCATCAGGTTAGGTTAGGCTGCGTCAGGTTAGGTTAGGCTGCGTCAGGTTAGGTTAGGCTGCGTCAGGTTAGGTTACTCTGCATCAGGTTAGGTTAGGCTGCGTCAGAATAGGTTGAGGTTGGAAGGTTTGGTGAGAACTCATTGAAAATGAGTTATAACATTATGTTTGTAACTCATTTTCAATGTATGTACCTGAATAAACATCATATGATGGTGGACGTCTCATAAGGCAGCTTCCTGCTCCCCCCCTCCCCCACACAAGGCAATACCCCTGCCCCTTCTTACGACTCACTCCGTAAAATATGCAACTGTTTGCCTACCCAGGAACCTTACGAGGCCAAGTAACCAACCCATCCTACCGAGACCGAGGCATAGAAAATGTAAATATTATGATTCTTTAAGTTCTAATGCGTCGCATTCTGGGCGGTGTGTGAAGAATGCGGGGCGCGGGGGAGGGGTGTTCCCACCGCGCCCAGCAGGGTGCACTGGTGCAGAATTTTCCTGCTTGACCTGCCGGCGACCACTGTGCTGGAGCGTGCAGGAGCATGCTGGACCGTGCTGGACCGTGCAGGGCCATGCTGGACCGTGCAGGACCATGCAGGACCGTGCTGGACCATGCTGAACCATGCTGGACCGTTCAGGGCCATGCTGGACCGTGCTGGACCATGCTGGACCTTTCAGCTCCATGAGACATGACACTGCCTGGTCCGTTCATCTGTCGGTAAACTTCTGCACAAAAGTCAAGTTCAATCTTTTCTGTTAATTATTACAGGAACGTTGTTAATGAAGCAGAACTAAAATTGGCCGGAAATGGTCTAAGGTCCAGGAATGTAGACGCTTTCCCGCGGGGCGTGGCAAGTCCAGCGGGCCGTGGCAAGTCCCGTGGGGCGCGGAAAGTCCAGCGAAAGTAAAAGTCTGTCTTCCAGGAAAATGGTTGCTTCTCTTTGTTTTCTTTCATATCTCGGTAAAGTTTGGCCAGCTGCAAGGGCTGTACTTCGCACCTGGGGACAGGCAGTTCGGGAGACAGGGGACAGGCAGTTCGGGAGACAGGGGACAGGCAGTTCGGGAAGCAGGGGACAGGCAGTTCGGGAGGCAGGGGACAGGCAGTTCGGGAGACAGGGGACAGGCAGTTCGGGAGACAGGGGACAGGCAGTTCGGGAGACAGGGGACAGGCAGTTCGGGAGACAGGGGACAGGCAGTTCGGGAGACAGGGGACAGGCAGTTCGGGAGACAGGGGACAGGCAGTTCTGGAGACAGGGGACAGGCAGTTCGGGAGACAGGGGACAGGCAGTTCGGGAAGCAACGGAGACAGGCAGTTCGGGAAGCAACGGAGACAGGCAGTTCGGGAAGCAACAGAGACAGGCAGTTCGGGAAGCAACGGAGACAGGCAGTTCGGGAAGCAACGGAGACAGGCAGTTCGGGAAGCAACGGAGACAGGCAGTTCGGGAAGCAACGGAGACAGGCAGTTCAGGAAGCAACGGAGACAGGCAGTTCGGGAAGCAACGGAGACAGGCAGTTCGGGAAGCAACGGAGACAGGCAGTTCGGGAAGCAACGGAGACAGGCAGTTCGGGAAGCAACGGAGACAGGCAGTTCGGGAAGCAACGGAGACAGACAGTTCGGGAAGCAACGGAGACAGGCAGTTCGGGAAGCAACGGAGACAGGCAGTTCGGGAAGCAACGGAGACAGACAGTTCGGGAAGCAACGGAGACAGGCAGTTCGAGAAGCAACGGAGACAGACAGTTCGGGAAGCAACGGAGACAGACAGTTCGGGAAGCAACGGAGACAGGCAGTTCGGGAAGCAACGGAGACAGGCAGTTCGGGAAGCAACGGAGACAGGCAGTTCGGGAAGCAACGGAGACAGGCAGTTCGGGAAGCAACGGAGACAGGCAGTTCGGGAAGCAACGGAGACAGACAGTTCGGGAAGCAACGGAGACAGGCAGTTCGGGAAGCAACGGAGACAGGCAGTTCGGGAAGCAACGGAGACAGGCAGTTCGGGAGACAGAAGACAGATAAAACCAAACATTTCCGTCCTAACGTCTGATAATCCAGGCAGCTGTCTCCGTCACACTCTCCCTCTCTCTTCCTCACTCAACACCTTTTTTATGCAATTTTTTCCATGCACTCAACTCAGCCTTGACCCAGAAACACAGTTTCTAACAAACAAGTTGTTAGCGTATATGTGAGGGTGAGAGTGTGGGGGTTCCCTGGAGGGTGGTATAGCATGTTCTTGAGGGTGTGGGGTTCCCTGGAGGGTGGTATAGCATGTTCTTGACGGTGTGGGGTTCCCTGGAGGGTGGTATAGCATGTTCTTGAGGGTGTGGGGTTCCCTGGGGGTGGTATAGCATGTTCTTGACGGTGTGGGGTTCCCTGGAGGGTGGTATAGCATGTTCTTGAGGGTGTGGGGTTCCCTGGAGGGTGGTATAGCATGTTCTTGACGGTGTGGGGTTCCCTGGAGGGTGGTATAGCATGTTCTTGAGGGTGTGGGGTTCCCTGGGGGTGGTATAGCATGTTCTTGACGGTGTGGGGTTCCCTGGAGGGTGGTATAGCATGTTCTTGACGGTGTGGGGTTCCCTGAGGGTGGTATAGCATGTTCTTGACGGTGTGGGGTTCCTTGGGGGTGGTATAGCATGTTCTTGAGGGTGTGGGGTTCCCTGGGGGTGGTATAGCATGTTCTTGACGGTGTGGGGTTCCCTGGAGGGTGGTATAGCATGTTCTTGACGGTGTGGGGTTCCCTGGAGGTGGTATAGCATGTTCTTGACGGTGTGGGGTTCCCTGAGGGTGGTATAGCATGTTCTTGAGGGTGTGGGGTTCCCTGGAGGGTGGTATAGCATGTTCTTGACGGTGTGGGGTTCCCTGGAGGGTGGTATAGCATGTTCTTGACGGTGTGGGGTTCCCTGGAGGGTGGTATAGCATGTTCTTGACGGTGTGGGGTTCCCTGGGGGTGGTATAGCATGTTCTTGACGGTGTGGGGTTCCCTGAGGGTGGTATAGCATGTTCTTGAGGGTGTGGGGTTCCTTGGAGGGTGGTATAGCATGTTCTTGAGGGTGTGGGGTTCCCTGGGGGTGGTATAACATGTTCTTGAGGGTGTGGGGTTCCCTGGGGGTGGTATAACATGTTCTTGAGGGTGTGGGGTTCCCTGGGGGTGGTATAGTATGTTATTGAGGGTGTGGGGTTTCCCTGGGGGTGGTATAACATGTTCTTGACGGTGTGGGGTTCCCTGGAGGGTGGTATAGCATGTTCTTGACGGTGTGGGGTTCCCTGAGGGTGGTATAACATGTTCTTGAGGGTGTGGGGTTCCCTGGAGGGTGGTATAGTATGTTATTGAGGGTGTGGGGGTTCCCTGGGGGTGGTATAACATGTTCTTGACGGTGTGGGGGTTCCCTGGAGGGTGGTATAGTATGTTATTGAGGGTGTGGGGGTTCCCTGGGGGTGGTATAACATGTTCTTGACGGTGTGGGGGTTCCCTGGAGGGTGGTATAGTATGTTATTGAGGGTGTGGGGTTCCCTGGGGGTGGTATAACATGTTCTTGACGGTGTGGGGTTCCCTGGAGGGTGGTATAGCATGTTCTTGACGGTGTGGGGTTCCCTGAGGGTGGTATAGCATGTTCTTGACGGTGTGGGGTTCCTTGGGGGTGGTATAGCATGTTCTTGAGGGTGTGGGGTTCCCTGAGGGTGGTATAACATGTTCTTGACGGTGTGGGGTTCCCTGGAGGGTGGTATAGCATGTTCTTGACGGTGTGGGGGTTCCCTGGGGGTGGTATAGCATGTTCTTGACGGTGTGGGGGTTCCCTGGAGGTGGTATAACATGTTCTTGAGGGTGTGGGGTTCCCTGGGGGTGGTATAACATGTTCTTGAGGGTGTGGGGTTCCCTGGGGGTGGTATAGTATGTTATTGAGGGTGTGGGGTTCCCTGGGGGTGGTATAACATGTTCTTGACGGTGTGGGGTTCCCTGGAGGGTGGTATAGCATGTTCTTGACGGTGTGGGGTTCCCTGAGGGTGGTATAACATGTTCTTGAGGGTGTGGGGTTCCCTGGAGGGTGGTATAGCATGTTCTTGACGGTGTGGGGTTCCCTGGAGGGTGGTATAGCATGTTCTTGACGGTGTGGGGTTCCCTGGAGGGTGGTATAGCATGTTCTTGACGGTGTGGGGTTCCCTGGGGGTGGTATAGCATGTTCTTGACGGTGTGGGGGTTCCCTGAGGGTGGTATAGCATGTTCTTGAGGGTGTGGGGTTCCTTGGAGGGTGGTATAGCATGTTCTTGAGGGTGTGGGGTTCCCTGGGGGTGGTATAACATGTTCTTGAGGGTGTGGGGTTCCCTGGGGGTGGTATAACATGTTCTTGAGGGTGTGGGGTTCCCTGGGGGTGGTATAACATGTTCTTGAGGGTGTGGGGTTCCCTGGGGGTGGTATAGTATGTTATTGAGGGTGTGGGGTTCCCTGGGGGTGGTATAACATGTTCTTGACGGTGTGGGGTTCCCTGGAGGGTGGTATAGCATGTTCTTGACGGTGTGGGGTTCCCTGAGGGTGGTATAACATGTTCTTGAGGGTGTGGGGTTCCCTGGAGGGTGGTATAGTATGTTATTGAGGGTGTGGGGGTTCCCTGGGGGTGGTATAACATGTTCTTGACGGTGTGGGGGTTCCCTGGAGGGTGGTATAGTATGTTATTGAGGGTGTGGGGGTTCCCTGGGGGTGGTATAACATGTTCTTGACGGTGTGGGGTTCCCTGGAGGGTGGTATAGTATGTTATTGAGGGTGTGGGGTTCCCTGGGGGTGGTATAACATGTTCTTGAGGGTGTGGGGTTCCCTGGAGGGTGGTATAGCATGTTCTTGACGGTGTGGGGTTCCCTGAGGGTGGTATAGCATGTTCTTGACGGTGTGGGGTTCCTTGGGGGTGGTATAGCATGTTCTTGAGGGTGTGGGGTTCCCTGAGGGTGGTATAACATGTTCTTGACGGTGTGGGGTTCCCTGGAGGGTGGTATAGCATGTTCTTGACGGTGTGGGGGTTCCCTGGGGGTGGTATAGCATGTTCTTGACGGTGTGGGGGTTCCCTGGAGGTGGTATAACATGTTCTTGAGGGTGTGGGGTTCCCTGGGGGTGGTATAACATGCTCTTGAGGGTGTGGGGTAACTTGTATAGAACTGAACTTAACAAGATAACAGATGGTGGTATAGAATATAGGCGGTGAAGGAACAGGGGCCGGCGAGTACTGGCGTCACTTGTGCTGCTGTTTGGGGGAACTTTATAATTACGGTCAATGGATCAGGATAATGACGGGGGAATATAATTGGTTTGTATTATATATGTGTGTTGCGCCACTCCCCTTCCTCTCACACACACACACACACACACACACACACACACACACACACACACACACACACACACACACACACACACACACACACACACACATATACACACACCACTTTTGAGTTTATCTGTATTTAATTAAAATTAAGGTGGGTTATAAATGTTGGTGATGAAACAGCGAGCTAAGCGATGTTATCTCACATCAGCTCATCTGAACCACATCTTAAAAGCTGCTTAGTAATTATATTATTTGTATTACATTAGGAAAACTCTTTATGTAATGGTAAGTTTCAATCATGAAGCTTAGTAGGAAGAACCAGGAGGGGAGTGTAGGAACCTTCATGTGGTCGGGTGACCTCGGTTCCTGAGTATCTGCATGTTGAGAGCACATGTTCCAGACGTAGGTGATCCTAGGAATGGTCACTGACAGAGTGATGGTGGTGAGAGTGACGCCTCGTCGGTTCGGTACCGAAGCTTAGGCCACCTACATGTCTCTAACCCTGTCCATGGAGGACACAAGAAAATGTATATATATGCTGGTTAGCATTGTAAATGTGTGGCCACGTCTGTGGTAGGAAAGAAATGTCTCTCTGGGTGAGGTTAGAGACGAGTCTTCTGGCTCAGTTCTCTGTCTTATCCGGAATTCGGATTAGTGATGACGGGTTGGCCATCCTAAAGAGCGGTGCATATTCAAGATGGGAAGCAAGTTCTGCCTCAGATAAGGCTTTACAACCCCCAGTTGTCCAGAATGTGGGCGAGGCAGCGTAAGGCTGTAAGTTTATTGGCTGCCTTGGTTGCTAAATTCAACACGTGGCTGAGAGCTAATTTTTTTTAAAGTCATCTGTATGCCTGTTTAGGTGCGATGTTATGCAGTCTAGTTATGACCATCGTCCGTGTTTTCTCAGCTGCAAGTGCAACCCGTCGTCGTCAACCACACGGAGGAATTCCTGCAAGTTGTCATCAATGAGCCTTGTAGCAGTCGGCATTTCTTCCCCTTGTATATGTAAAGGTAAGAGTGCAGTCATCAGCAGAGACAAGTCAGTAACGAGGACCACATCAGTGAAGTAGACTACAACAAGAGGCCCAGCACACTGCCCTGTGGTACATTGGCACCAATTGAGTGACCTTCAGATCCTGCTCCTTTGAGGACTACTACTCTTACAGACCGTTCCTGAAGTGTAGTCACTTGTTAACTGTAAAATACCACCTGAGAAAATGTTAAAGGTTTGCAAGTAGTCCATAGAGCCAGACCCCGTCAGAGGTACGCGCAGTGTCTGGAGGAACAGCACAGCTGATCTTGTAATCATCCAGTGAGTGATGCCACTGAGTGATGCCACTAAGTGGCGACGTTTACCAAAAGACCAGCAACAGAAACAAGACCTTTCCTGAGACCATACTCCCGGCCACACAGTAACCCACGATCTACAGCTCCATTTTTCCACACGGAGAGCCGTGGTCCTAGAGCCTGGCGGAGATGGCAAGGGGAGGTTATCTTGAGATGATTTCGGGGCTTTAGTGTCCCCGCGGCCCGGTCCTCGACCAGGCCTCCACTCCCAGGAAGCAGCCCGTGACAGCTGACTAACACCCAGGTACCTATTTTACTGCTAGGTAACAGGGGCATAGGGTGAAAGAAACTCTGCCCATTGTTTCTCGCCGGCGCCTGGGATCGAACCCAGGACCACAGGATCACAAGTCAAGTGTGCTGTCCGCTCGGCCGACCAACTCCCGACCGGCTCCACCCTCCGGGCAGGCCGGAGAGTGTACGCAAGTACATAACAGTCTGGGGTTGACCTTATCTGGCCCCGTTGCTTTACCTATGTCGAGTGCTTTAAGGAGGCGGTGGACTTCATCCTGGTCTGATTACCCAATATGCAGGCGAGGAGTCACAATAACGGGGCTACAGTAAGTTGACCAGACCACACACTAGAAGGTGAAGTGACGACGTTTCGGTCCTTCCTGGACCATTCTCAAGTCGATTGTGCTGTCAATCGATTGATTGGCGATACAAGTCAATCGACTTGAGAATGGTCCAGGACGGACCGAAACGTCGTCGTCCCTTCACCTTCTAGTGTGTAGTCTGGCCAAATTACCCAATATATTCCACACGTCTGCAAATAAGCATATTGCAGGTAGGTCATTAATGACACAACTCGGGTTCCTCACTTGATTCTGAGATAGACAAGTCACAAAATGATCCAGGTTGAATACGTTAACTGTTCACCAACATCCCTCTCTATGAGATACCGGTTAAAGTCCCCCACAATTACAATGTGCTGAGAGTTATTTTGAATTAGCAGGGAGTCAAAACTGTTCACCAGGAAGTTGATTAGGGACGCACCCTTGCCACTGAGGTCCGTATATATCTTACACCACAATGGATGTACTGCGAATGAATGGTTTGAAGAACAGAATTACCAGTGGACCAGTCGCAAGGGCCGGTGGGTGATTGGACAGCACGCTGGATGCGTGATTCTGTGGTCCCGGGTTCGATTCCCGGCGCCGGCGAGAAACAATGAACAGAGTTTCTTTCTCCCTGATGCCCCTGTTACCTAGCAGTAAATAGGTACCTGGGAGTTAGTCAGCTGTCACGGGCTGCTTCCTGGTGTGTGGTGTGTGTGTGTGTAGGGGGAAAGTAGATAGTAAACAGTTGATTGACAGTTGAGAGGCGGGGCGAAAGAGCAGAGCTCAACCCCCGCAAGCACAACTAAGTGAATACAGCTAGGTGAATACCCTGGAAACACAAACTGAAACTGTCTCTATTTTCCG